TGTGTGTGTGTGTGTGTGTGTGTGTGTGTCTGTCTATGTCTGTGTATGTATGTGAGTGTGTGTCTGTGTCTGTTTGTGTGTGTGTGACTGTCTGTGTGTGTGACTGTGTGTGTGACTGTGTGTGTGTGTGTGTCTGCAGGAGTATCTGGAGGCCGGAGCCGACATCATCGAGACCAACACCTTCAGCAGCACCAGCATCGCTCAGGCCGACTACGGCATGGAGGACCTGGTGATAGTTTGATTTCATTGATCAGTTTGACATGAGATGATGATGATGTGTTGATTGGTTCAGCAGCCTGTGATGCCTGTTGTGTTTCAGGCGTATCGGCTGAATAAAGCATCTGCAGAACTGGCCCGGAGAGCAGCGGATGACGTCTCTACACAGACAGGTCACACAGACGTCCGTCTCTGATCATAGTGTGTGTGTGTGTGTGTTTGTGACGTTGGTGGTGTTGTTGTTGGCAGGTTGTAAGCGGTTTGTAGCAGGAGCCGTGGGTCCCACCAATAAAACACTGTCAGTGTCTCCATCGGTGGAGAGACCCGACTACAGGAACATCAGTAAGACTGACCGCGTGTTTGAGAACGAACTCTGAACCCGGAGCACGTGTGCTGCTCTTCCTCACACCCGTCTGTGTGTGTGTGTGTGTGTGTGTGTTTAGCGTTTGATGAGCTGGCGGAGGCGTATGCGGAGCAGGTGAAGGGTCTGCTGGACGGAGGCGCTGATGTTCTGCTGGTGGAAACCATCTTTGATACAGCGAACGCAAAGGTACAGCCGAACTCTCGTACGATCTGACACAAACCACCTTCATCTGAGCATCAGTCAGGCGGTTCTGTGGTTTTAACTTTAGTGAGTGTGTAGTGTTGCTGTTAGAGCATAAACAATATCTTCAAAGTTCATAAACACAAAACCCCATAAACACAATCAAACCTTCGAAAACAGCTGATCAACCACCCCTTTAAAGTTTCATTAATAAAATAGTGTTAATTTAATTAAACTTATTAACTGCCAATTATATATATATATATTTACATGCATGTGTGTGTATATTTATTCACACAAATAAAAAATTGGCAGTTAATACATTCTCAACCAGGAGCCTCAATGATTTATAATAAGACAAAACAAGTGTTTAAGTAAGCTAAAACATCTTAAAAATCAAGACATTCTTTATTTTAATAAATTTTTGTCCGTGAAGAACCAGGACTGGATATATGAGGAAGCCTCTTTATTTTTTTCTAATTTCTTTTTAAATGATTTCTAGATCTGGAGAAATCATGGAAATGTATAAAATCTCTAAAATTTCATAAACATGTATTTAAATAATTTTTTTTAGTTATGTCAGGCTCTAAAATATTTTATCGGGTAGAAATTGTGAGAAAAGTGGAAAACAAAAAGATGATATTTGGATTCCTGTACATGCTTTATTTCTGTATTGTTTCTCTATGAACGTTTATTGGAGTTTGTTTCTGTCAGGCGGCGTTATTTGCCATCGACAGGCTGTTTGAGGAGTGTTACGAACCTCGACCCGTGTTTGTAAGTGTTCAGCTCTCTCTTGATCTTCACGTCTGTTTCTCCTCATGAGTGTGTTCACTGACAGATGAACTCGTGTGTCCGTGTGTCCGTGTGTGCGTGTGTGCGTGTGTCCGTGTGCGTCTGTCTGTCCGTCTGTGTGTGTCCGTGTGTGCGTGTGTCCGTGTGTGCGTGTGTCCGTCTGTGTGTGTCCGTGTGCGTCTGTGCGTCTGTCTGTCCGTGTGCGTGTGTCCGTGTGTGTGCGTGTGTCCGTCTGTGTGTGTGTGTCCGTGTG